TTTTCATCTCAATCCACCGATATAAATAGGCTAATTATATTAATTAAACGGGTTAAATATAACGAATAATATACAACAAAAGGAATTCTATAGATTTGTAATTAGTTTAATTTGTTTTATTTAATGTGTATTTAATTTGTATTTAATGTTACACAGTTAAATGAATCAATAACAATTTATTATTGTATAATTTCAATCAATATATTGAATACATATTATAACTCCTCAGGGGTACAACTTAGTATAGAAATAAGTTGCGTTAAATCATATTAATTTATTGTCCTCTACATGCCCCTGTTCTGTGTCGGTTCTTATGTGAATCACCCGGAAAAAAATCAAAAAAAGGTTTCCCAAAACTCCCGGGACGGAGGTATAAGTTTTAAACGAGTGAAGAAAAATATTTGAAAATTTGGGGATCACTAAAGAGTCATAAAAACTACATTCTTAGATAGTTTAGTACTTCCGTGCAATGTGGAGTTTTTTTAGGGGATGACCACCCCTACATTTTTAAATAGCAACCCCTATCGAGTTTTACCTTATTTTAAAGGTAATGGAAAAAGAAACATAACCCCATAAAGCAAAACCCTATATCTTAATTCTTTCAAGAATTATGAAGGGTTGACTACCAAATGGGAAAATAAAGTGTTTTCAGGTCTCGCAATGACCCAAACGCTCATAAATCATCAGGAGCGTATCCCTAGTGATATTGGTGGTTTCTTCAAATACAGGTAAACGTCGTTTTGTGCCGGTTCGATTTACGCCGATTCACAATTACGCCGGTTGGCGTCGGAGTGGAGGAGATTCACTCAGGAGATTTTTACAGACTGGATTAAAAATTATTTTTGCCCTACAGTGCTTAAATTTTGTGACTGAAATAACCTTCCAAAGAAAGCAATCCTCCTATTAGACAATGCCCCAGGACATCAGCAAAATCTTGACATCTTAGACACGGGATTGGAGGTCAAGGTAATTTACATACCCCCTAACACAACCTCCGTTTTATAACACATGGATCAGTGGTAATTTCTACCTTTAAAGCGTATTATTTCCGCATAACATTAAAAGCAATAATTAAGGCGATAGATAATAATTCCAATGGGACCGTCAAAGATTATTGGCGATCATACGACATTTTAAAAGGAATAAATTATCTAAAGTCTGTTTGGGACGAAGTGACAAACAATTGTTTAAAACGGCGTTTGGCGTAAACTTTTTCCTGGATTTATACAAAGTGCAAATGTAGAAGTGGTAAATAACATTAATATAAACGAGGACATCAGGCTTACACGCGAATGTGGATTCGAAGACGTAACAACTGAAGATGTGACCGAACTGTTAGACGTGCATGACCAACCATTCTCAAATCAAGAATTAGAAAAGTTGATCGAAGCATATGATAGCCTTCAATCAGAAAATCCCGAAGAAGAAGAGGAGGATGAGAAAGAAAATGATCCTAAAAACGGGTGATCTAACTCGTATCCTTTCCTCTATAGAAAGATTAACAGGTGAGCTCTCTGAAATAGATAGGGATTACAATCGAACCGCAAATGTTAAAAGAAGTGTCACAGCTGCCGTTCGACCTTATGCTAATGAAATTCGATGCTTTTTTCAGAAAAGTGTGAGACTTTAATTTAGTACCGATGAACTAGTGAGTTAGTATTTATTTCAAAAACTTCATTATTTATATCAAGAGATTATTATTTATTTTGAATATACAATATGGGATATGTATTAAATAAACACGAGGGGTAAACCGCTAGTTCAAATTTTGTACACCTACTTCCCCTTTGACATACATTTCTTATACTTCCTACTTATATTCCTAGTATTTCCCCGTACTTCCTCGTAATTCCTCTTACATACTCGTACCTCCTCTCCCTTCGGACGGCATATCCACGTGTGTATTTAAGTAAAACACCCAAATAAAAGTCAATAAAAATTAACATATATTCTTTGGCAAATAAAAACATTGAGTTTTTCTATATAAAAACAGAAAATAATAATACTGACAAAACAGATTTAAAGCTTTTTATAATTTTGTTTGAAAGCTTTGTATAATTTCTTTATTTCTACATCATCATGTCTGCTAATTTGAAATAGCCGTTACCAAGTAAATTAATGGGACAACCGCGATGTCTGGTGTTTTCGGCCATACAGAAAAATCCAAATCTTGTCCACAAAAGCAAGTCACAGTGCAAGAAAAATGTTTATCTAATCCTTTTTGAATTTTTAGGCTTATACCATTACATTTTGATTCAAATATTAACCATTGTTCCTGACTAACTTTTGTTTTAAGCCAGCACTTAAGAGCTTTTAATATAACGCACTTTTCTGTTTCCTGATCTGTAGCTGCAGTCTCACTTAATGGTTGTGCTGAGGGGTATGGTAATGTCTGCTCAGAAATGTTTTCAATTATGTCGGTTTGCGTAGACTGAGTCGATATTTTTCTCTCGTATTTGGATTTATAAAATTTGGAAATTAAAACTATTGTTTTTTCGTGCCAGATAGCAATTTAAATTGCTGCGGATTATTATAGTAATTCATGGTAGTCATTTCTAATAAATGCTTCTATTTTTTCTAGATCATTTTCGTCAATCGTACCAAGCAGCACCTCATTATCAAATCCGCTAATAATAAGAATTTCCTTAACATTTTCATTTAATTGAAATTGTAGAAAATTTTCGGCCTCTTGAAAACAGCGATAGCGATTTGCCGTCATCCTGGCGCCTAATACAAAACAGAATTTACGAGCGAATTTAGTACCATTGACTCTTCACGATATGTTAATATAAATTTAAATTTTAATATGATACTCATTCAATCTTACCTTTGAATGAAAACGATGCTTCTACTAGTAACAATTCACACACCCTTTATGAAACAGAAACTGCGCACCTAATACTAGATCTAGCTTGTTTATGGAACATCGTAACTTCGATCGTTAGATATCGTGTTTAATCGTGTTCGATCGTGTTTCAATATATCCCCAAATTTCCCTAAATAATTTCCCGTACTTCCCCAATAATTCCCCGTACTTCCCCAAACTTCCTCGATAATTCCCCGTAATTCCTTGTACTTCCCCGTAATTACTCGCATCTCCCCATAATTCCCCAGACTTCCCCGTAATTCGTCGAACTTCCCCATAATTTCTCCGCATTTCCCCTATTTTGTACACCTACTTCCCCAGCGGTTTACCCCTCGAATAAACATGTCATGTTAGATAGTTCTTAGAATTTTGACATGGAACCTAACCTTATATCGTCGTTACCTTTATGAGATTTTCCAAATCATTTATTGATTCTGGTTTTGTTACATAAACTCTACTTTTCAGAAACCCCCAACAGAAAAAATCCAGTGGTGTTAGATCAGGAGATCGTGGTGGCCACTCAATTTCATCTGTTCTACCAATTCAACGGTTTGGAAACGTGCGTCTTAAAAAGTCTCGGACTGCGTGACTAAAATGTGGAGGAGTACCATCTTGTTGGAACCACTTATTGTCAATACCATTAGGGCATATGGCACGTACACTTGCAACCACTTGATTTTCTAACAGTTGCAGATATCTGTCTCCGTCCAAATTTTCATTAATAAAAAATGAACCAATTACATTCTCTCCCATAATACCAGCCCATACATTAATTTTCTGTGATCTCTGAGTATGATCTTCTCTTATTAAACGTGGATTTTCGTCCCTCCAATCACTAGGGAACCACCACTATCACTAGGGATATGCTCCTGATGGTTCAAAATTCCATTTATGAGCGTTTGGGTCATTGCGAGACCGAAGAAGGTCGACAATTTAAACATTTGTTATAAAAAACGTAATAAACATGCATTTAAAAATGTAGGGGTGGTCATCCCCTAAAAAAACTCCACATTGAATGGAAGTTCTAAACTATCTAAGAATGTAGTTTTTATGACTCTTTATTGATTCCCAAATTTTCAAATTTTTTTCTTCACTCGTTCAAAACTTATAGCTCCGTCCCGGGAGGTTTGGGAAACCCTGTATATCATTGATGTTCATATTCTACTTAATTTTAAGGTTAGATTTTTCATTCTTTGAAGAATTATATAACATAGACCATATATTTTTATTCTTCACAAATCCAAAATATAAAGTAAGTATTTATAAAAAACTTTGATGTTGATGTTTGATTTCTAGAATAGACATTTGTTAACCTTAAATTTAAAATATTTACATCTGTCAATTTGACGTTTTAAACGTCAACAAAATAGACGTCAAATAAGAAATGTGGTAAAATAGAATGAAAGGGACAAAATTAAAAACTAATAAAATTAAACAAATAATGTCGCGTTAATTAATTAATGATTAATTGCTAATAAATTGTACGGTAAGATTCTTATCGTCTTTATAATAAATGAATCACTATAAATTGATAAGAAATTTTTGATAGAAAACGGTTATTATATTATTATATTACGATTAAATAATAATTCAATAATAAAACTTAAAATAAAATGAATTAAAGGGATTTAAAACCTATAAAAAACAAAGTAGACAGAGAAGTCATAAATTCCCTTAAAAATAATTATAGATACAAGCAATTCCCTAAACACGCTTGTATGCACATAACCTAAAAATATTTTTTAAATCACCCAACCCAAAAACAACCAAAAATAAGTAAAAACAAAAATTTTTCCTAAAAAAAAATATATCAACAACACAAAAAATATATATAATTTAAAAAACTCCTTGAACTTGAAGATAAAGTTTTTTAAAACTTCCAGAACTTTATTTTCGACTGGATCCTTTAACTATTAAAATATTAAATGTACAATTCATATCAAAAAAAATTGAAATAAAAAGGACAAAATATAATCTTTACCTTTTCATGCGAGGTCTATTAGTATCAAAGACGTCGTGATAAACGCATGCACAATAACAATCAGTTCCGAACGAACACATCACCCGAGAAAACTTCCCGTTGAACTGAATTGAAGCATTGCTTTTGGCTCCCACTACCGCGAACACCGCGTAAATGCGAACACTTCGTGTACTTCTCGTGCTACAACTTCGCGCCGATCAAGCCGCATCAATTTACGGAGAATCCATTTAGAAAATAGCGAGACAATCGTTCGTGGAACGGACTTCATTACAAAAAGGTAATACGAATGGTACTTCCGAAGAACGTAGATATTGCAACAAGTTTTGTAAATACACATTTTAATTTGTTGTGTATACTTGTGTTTTTGTGGCTGCAGTGCCATCTAGTGTGATTATTGGAAAGTTTGTGGTTTTATGGTAGTGTGGCGATTGGATACTAGATGATGCTGTTGCGATTTAATACAAATAATTATAATTCTCGAATTATAATTTATTGTAATTATCTAGCAAGATGTATTGACTAAACTTTATGCATTCCATCATATAAATGTTTTACTATTAAGTTTTATTTTCAAGGATATACCTACGATAAAATTGTTAGGTATATTATAAAAATGTTCTAAACTAAAAATGTCGTATAATAAAATAGTGAAGAGAAGTGAGTCTAAGATCGGATCAAAGTAAATAGTCCTAAAGCGATTTTTACAGCTAGAATTTATTTTTGCATGAAGATTTAGTAAAGATATTGTTTGTCTGACAGTTACTCTGCATCGCAGGTAGTTTTTGTTAAGAACAGATCAATATGTGCGGGACGGAAATGGTTGAGGTTCGGCAAGTTGAAAATAGAACAATAAAGTCTGTGTATTTGTGTAACTATCTTTATGTTTTATAGCACGACTCTTTAGCAAGTAGGTGTGCGAACAAATACGTGTGTGTGTGTGCGAAAAACAGTGAGAAGGTTGATAAAAGACAATACAGATACTTGAAATGCGCTGGAAATATTATATGGAGCAATTTTGCACTTTTTTCCAATTTTGTACTCAATATAACCCAAACATCAGAATGCGCTTGTCATTTTACAGATTTACTAAGAAGAACTCAAGCTGTATGAAAACAACGTATCTTTCTGCCAACACCCGCCACATGTATATTTCAAGTTAGGTGTGTAAAAGGAGTTCTGGATAGTCATGAAAATTGCATGCCAACCATAATCTTGATAAAAGCGTTTACTGTTTAAAAAGTAAATAATCAAATCCAAAATCGGTAGAAGGAGTTTCCCTCAGGATCTGTTTAATAACCTGAAACGATAGATTAAGGCCCACTTTTACCATCCTTCTGATAAACTATCTAAGGGATAATTGCCATGGTTACAGCCGTTTTAAGCGCTCTCATTGGCTAAGAGCGCCAATTTATCTATAGTATAAATTTATCAAGAGGTGGTAAAAGCGGGCCTAATGCCATCAAGTCTAAGAAAGCGGAAAATGCGATTACTGACAATTTTAAGGTTGATTGAATTAAAGTTGTTAAAAGCTTCCACAATGCCCTCAAAAGTTCTGGAAAAATTCTGGTTGGTCGAGACTCTGTGAAATGTTTTGAGGAGTTTCTCTCTAAATTCTTTCGCCGTCAAGCCCCAGAAAACCTAAACCCCTTTTAACATAGATTTTTTGTGAACACAAGCTATGTAAGCAGAATAAAGTGCTATAAGTTTTAAAAGCATGCACTTCAAAAGTATTGGCATTTTCTCATTTGTCGAAAATCGGTGGGATTTTTTGGGTAGTCTCTTTTGAAGTCTTTTTAATAACTTGGAAATTATAGTTTAATGTCATCAAGCCTCTGAAAACCAAACTCCAATTCATATCGATTTTTGTGAACACAAGCTATGTAAGCAGAATAAAGTGCTATAAGTTTTAAAAGTATGCACTTCAAAAGTATTGGCATTTTCTCATTTGTCGAGAATCTGTGGGATTTTTTGGGTAGTCTCTTTCGAAGTCTTTTTAATAACTTGAAAGTTATAGTTTAATGTCATCAAGCCTCTGAAAACCAAACTCCAATTCATATCGATTTTTGTGAACACAAGCTATTCAAGGAGATTAAATTATAGTTGGGGTTGTTTCTAAATTAGTAATAATAACTTCAAGAGTACTAGCAAAATTGTGGTTGGTCAAAAATCGGTGTTATGATTTAAGGAGTCTTTTTCGGAGATAGTGTCCAAGTCTTCGTTGTCAACGGAGTCCCTTGAAATATACACTTTTGTATGACTTCTTCTTAAATAATTATGCAAATAGCATCATGCTAAGACAATTATATCACCACATTTGCTAAGTAAAATCCCAAATATACTTTCTACAATACAAAGAGCACTATTATGTCGATAACTAAACATTCGCTATTCTATGGTTATTCCTGTTTAACTATAAAGCTTCATAAAATGTTCTGTCATAAGGTTAGATTTCAATATATAAATTATATCATACGAAGGTAATATATCTTCGTTATAAAGAAACACTTTTAAAACAGTGAAATTATGGCGATTGTGATCTAACATTCTTATCACGATCCTGTCAATTCAGATGACAGTGTAGGAATAGAAGGACCTACAAGAAAAAAGCTTTTCATTTCTTTTTCAGAGATGAAATTGCCAACAACGTTGTTCAATGGACTAGTGAAAAAAGCTGAATACTAACGAATTTCTTTGATTTATATTAAGTTATGGAGTGTAGAAGATGAACGCTCTATCTTGAAGTATACTATGGTAAGAAACAGGTTTACTACTATTTTTCAATCTTTGTGGTTTGATAATGTTGAATCACGAAGAACCAATTATCACCGATTAGAGCTTTCTTTGTGTTATGGCTACCCACACTAGCAGTTGCATACCATGAAAATATAACTGCCGACAAACTTAGGAGTTACTCACATTTTGTGGAAGAGGCCGCTTTAAAGTTATTTATATTCATTCCAAACCTGTTTATAATTTCAATATACACCGAGAAAATAGAACCATCGTAAGCGCCTCCAGGGGCAGCGTATTATCTTGAATATGATAAAGGAGTTGGAAGAATGAAAGGGATCACTGATAATTTGTTTACAAGTTTTGCCCTAGCTAGAGTATTAAGAAAAGAACTCTTAAAAGATAAGTTGGAACTTCCTAAAGACTGGACCAACACACAGGAGAAGATTGTCTATTTAACAAACTTTTGTTGCTAAAATAAAGCCATATTAGCGTCCTACCCTCCCAAAAGAAGAATATCGTTACCTTGTTTTCAGCTATGCACAACAAGGGTACAATTTTTGAAGATGAAAAGGAGATGCCACAAATAATTATTGACCAGATTATGACTAAGTCATACGCAGACACTATGGACTCCTAAAGCAGTATGAAATTGGAGCCAATATCAACTTTCCAGAATACAAACCCCACAGTCTTGAAAATCTATGATGAGTCTAGTCTTCTTGTTTACTGAAGATCTAATAAGAAAGCAGTAGATTACTTTTTAGAAGAGTTGCCACGTTTTAGATTGTGTGAAAATAGTGCAAGATTTTTGAAAAGAGATTAAAGAAACAACAATAAGAAAAGGCTAGTTGGTGAATTTAATAACAACGAAAATATACGTGACCCTATAACCATAATAACGGGCAATATTGTAGAAATGGCAACAGAGATAGAACTGGATATAGAATCAAAAAAATGTAAATGAACTTCTTGCTTCCCATGATATGTCTAACTAGCGAAGATTAATGAAGTTAATGATATCTGAAGAATTAACAACGAAAATACTGTTATCAGTATTTGAGTACTTTAGCAAAGCAATAGCTCTATTTGAAAGGAAAAATGGAAGGTTGAAAGGTAGTAGCTGTTGGATATGTTCCAGGAGTTCTAACAGAAAGCATTCAATGATATATAAAAATTTAAATCGATTTGTTTGTTATAGTCAACTAATTATTTGTATTGAATGTAAAAGGAATGATTAATTGTTATAAAATATATTTACTATATAGCATCGATATGATCCGTTGCATTGAAACTGGTCATCACTCATAATATATGCCGGATAAATATTTGTACAACGGTTTGTCCACAATCAAGGTTTTACACGCTAATACTCCCAAGTCGACGTTAAACCTTAGTGTTGGGGAATCGATAATCTCTTTGATAGGAGAAATCTTTAAGTTTTTATATAGATCCATATTTCGCACATACCACAAAGTATATACAATTATCCGCAACACCTCCTTTTTGCCACGTGTGGACAGTGTCCACGTTACTATCGCTTACTCATCCCCATATGCCGTATACCCAGATGGGTTTAAGGATCTGGTTGTACACAATCTCAACTTATTCTGAATGACTATTTTGGAGTGTCGCCTTCAGGAGTCAATACATTTGTCGCAGTTTGAAGCCGAGTTCTTCATGTTTTTTCATCACGTGTTCTTTGCATTTGAAACTTGTCATGCTTAGATATTTTGAGTTGTTAGCATATGACACCACAATACCATTTATGCATTTTACAACACATAAAATTTAGATGGAAATGTTGTTGTCCAGGGTCTTCTCGATTTCTCCTATGATCCTGATCAATGGTGGAATGTTGACTACGAAATCCAAACTTGTGGTCTGGCATTAGTTATCTTCTAACTATAAGTGGTTTCAATATCTTTACCACGAGCTTTTCAAATACTTTCGACATGATAGGAAACAGTGACATAGGCTCTACTATTTTATACTATTAGATGGCTTACCGGTTTCAGCAGCATGATAACTTCTGCTACTTTTCAGCAATACTGCACATGTTTAAGATTGAATACTTTACCCGTGATGAGATCATATCCAGGAGCCTTCTTAGGATTTAAGTTGGTTTGAATTTCGCTTGTCTCCTCACGTGATGATACTAATTGTAAGTCGATCCTCTCATAGTTTGTGTAGATTCTCACTTATATCTGTTTTTGGTCCTCTTATTGTACATTTATGTAAGTACGCTGGGTATATTTCTAGTATATATTTTTGGACGGTGTCTCCTGAAGAGATGGTTGAGTCTATCAAGTTCTTAAAGAATGTGAGCAGTGCGGGTATTGATGGAATTGGTGTGAAGGTTGTCAAATATATTACCAATGTTATTGCAGAACCTCTTGCGCTTAGTTTGAATTGCTCAATAACAGCGTGTTTTCCCATAATCTTTTAAAGTTGCTAAACTGATACCGATTCTAAAGAAAAGTAACGCGACCTGTGTATTGAGAACTATAGACCGATAGCAATTTGTAGTATTTTTTCTAAAGTATTTGAAAAAATGATTAGTAACACAATTGTATGGGTGTCCTTGGTCCTATCCTGAGTTGTATTCTTTCTTATTTAACCGACCATTCTCTCGGAGTGGTGTTATCAAATGTTTGCTCGGATGAGTCTTCCGTTGACATGGGGGTTCTACAGGGTTCAATTTTGGCGCCTTTCCTGTTCATACTTTTTATTAATGACCTTTCTTAAGGATTCTCATTTGGTTATGTACGCTGATGACTCATCTGTTGCAATTGCGGATATGGATCCAGGTCGATTGAATATGAAAATTACGTCAACTATTAAAAACTTTCCTGTATGGTTTGCATCAGTTTTTACAAGCGTCAAACATTACTAGCTAGTTTTGCGGATAAATTAGTATTTGCACAACACACACGATTTCTTGGTTTGGTATTAGATGGCAGGCTCTCTTTTAATAAGCATATAGAAACTGTGTGCAGGAAAATGAAGTTAGCCTACTATGCAATTTTGAAATTAATTAAAAGTTTAGATAAAAATTCGCTATTAAATATGTATTACGCACTGTGCTACTCTGTTATTTCCTACAATATACTAGTGTGGGTTGCTGCGTTTGAGTGAAATCGCGTGTTTGTGGCACAGAAGCGCGTCATTAGATTATTATTCGATTTAAATGGCAGGGAAGCTTTCAGGAGTCATAAAGAAGTAAAGACTAATATAAGCCGTTTTGTAATTTTTACTCATGATACCCGTGGTGGAGATAACCTTGTTCTCTCTGGACATGTCACCTCCATATTTGAGAGAAGTCCCTTTTATGACTTCTCAAGACTTTATAATAGATTACACCGGTCGATTAGATCTCAGGAGTGTCCCAAAAAATTTAAACAACTAAAACGACACTTTTTAGACTCTGTGTTCTATTCAAGACAAGAATTTTTAGATAAGTAGTGATTTTAATTATGTATAACGTGTTATTTAATTTATTATTGTATTTTGTTTTATTGTTCTATGGATACTGACTTGTCACATCTACTTATGTAGCCCATGTGATTGAATAAATAAATTGAATTATTTTTCTTGAAACATTACAGATGTCTATACTGTTTCTTCGCGTTATTATTATTTTTTCCACACTAGATGTCACTGGTTAAATCAAAAACACTTTCATCACTTAAAAATTAAAATTTTCCATTGGCTTCTTTGAACTCTTATCACAAATTTCTTAGATATCCCATTAAAAACACGATCGTATGTGTAACAAGGTCATTAAAAATTTCGGCGGTTATTAAAACAATTTTTCTTTCGATTTTTTAGTAACGATGACTTCGGTGCAAGCAGCCAAAAAAGCACTTAGGAAAAACGTTGAAGAGAAAATTTTAAAAATTTTACCTGAAGATAAACGGAGACAATCGTCGAAAGTTTGCGAAAAGGTAACAAATTGATTTCATAAAAAAGGATTTCTTTATTTTTCTTTGTTTGTAGTTGTTTGAACATCCAGCTTTTAAAAATAGCGAACGAATATCTGTTTATTTAAGTACTGATAATGAAATAGATACTGAACCGATTGTTAGGAAAATTTTCGAATTAAATAAGAAATGTTATGTTCCAAGATACAATAAAAATGTTATGGAAATGGTCCGTTTAAAAGATATGGAAGATTGGAAAAATTTACCACTGACTAAATGGAATATAAAGCAACCCGATTTAAAAGAAACCCGAGAAAATGCACTAGAAACAGGTGAATAATCCGTTTAATTTTAATTTTTCGTTATTGATTTTTTAATATTTATTTTATTTTCAGGAGGATTGGATCTCATTATTTTACCCGGCGTCGCTTTTACTAAAAAAGGTGTTCGTTTAGGTCACGGAAAAGGATATTACGATAAATTCCAATCGGAACTTTTTAAAATTCAATCTAAACGTCCATCAACAATAGCTCTTGCATTTAAAGAACAAATTCTAGATGAAATTCCAACTCATGAACACGATGTAACACTTGATCTGATTTTATTTGAATAATTACAGCAAAATTATAATTTTATGTTTGTATTTATCGTTTGCAATCATTTTCGTTCAATTCTAAGACAATAAATTTTAATACAATTTTATTAAAAAGTTTGAATTATTTCTAAAACTTCATTTAAATTAGACAAAAATAATAAATGTCAGTATGACAAGAACTAATATAGTTAACGTTAAAAAACATAGCGAAAGATAAATTCGCCCAACAAATTATTTGTAATACCATCTTAATTTAAACTGACTGGATTTTTTTTGACGAAATTTGCTTCAACTCAAGTTAAAAATGTCGAAGTTGGGTCGGGTACGGCCAATACAAAAAGCAAAGAGAATTTTAAGAAGAGAAGTGGCTTTTTTGTTATCAGTGCTGAGTAAAGACGATAAACGAAACCAAGAAACTTCTATCTACAACAAAGTAAAATATTCATTTCTACTGTTTTTCTTATTAAAACAATTTTCTTAACTCCAGATATTTGCTTTACCCCAATTTAAAAATGCTACTAGAATTGCCACATATATTAGCACCGAATTAGAAGTCGATACTGAACCAATAATTAGTTATGCCCTCGAAAATAATAAACTTTGTTTTGTACCGAGATACAAATTTCGCAAGAAACAAATGGATATGGTTCAGTTGGATTGTCTAAAAGATTTAGAAATAATTAAATCGAGGAAATGTAATAACGTCCATAATGTTCGACATTCTGATGTAAGAATAGATGCATTAGATTCAGGTAAAACAATTATTGTATAACTTTAAAAGTTATCTGTGTGTTTCATAATGCTAAAATCTTTAAATTTTTTTATGAGAAAGAAATAAGATTATTTCAAGCTTTCAGTTTGCTGGAATACGATTTTCATTACATTAATAGGTACACGAATAGGGTCTTTTTAACCCAGACGGTATTATTAAATAGCTTTGCTCAGTGAGGTTCAAAAGAACCTTTGATACTCACGAAATACAAGACATTTAATATTACATCCTACAAATACACTGCGTTATCGGGGAACTATAAGATAAAACAATAAAACTTATTGATAAATTATAAGAACATAGAAGCTTGAACTAGAAGTATGAACTTGATAGGTTATAAGAATTAGAAACATGATTAATTAATTAGTCACTGCGCGATTTATTAATCTTCTGTTCGTGAAATTTCTCCAGCTCTAGTGTAAGCGGCATGGGCCTTACATATTTGTTAAGGTATGGTTAATTTTAGTTCTTTGTTGGTTTGATGATTTAACAGACTATAATTTAAACACTTACTACTTAGAATGCAATAGACTAAGAGATGGTAAAAGTGAAACATTTAAAAGAAGTATGATATCTGTAATGCGTTTATTGCACATTAATATAAATGGATTCATGTGTTTACCGTGTGTTTCAAAAAAGCTCTGGTCGAAAAATCAACTATATTCCATCAAAATCGTGCGAAGCACTTCAGATCTCTGACATACAAGGGACGCGGCATAACAACAAAATCCAGTACACATACATATTTACAATCCAATAATCCTTTCTGACGCGTTTAGAAGAACCAAAAATCATTTAGAAGTGGCGGAAAGGTTAGCTCTTAAATGTATCACACGTATCCGACACCCGCAAAACACACTCTTCAATTCTAGCAACGAGCTCCTATACAATCCCACAGATATCCTTCTAATCCACTTCCGTCAACAATCTTTATCCCACAATGCTGCCATTAACTTCCCTATTGATACCTTAAAAAACCTCTTTATCACTATTTAAATGGTTTTGGCTTAAATAAATTTTGTTCTCTCTCTTTCTCAACCATATATGCGAGGTATCTGAAACTGTTTATCCTTTCTCGACAAAAAATTCTGCTCAGGATGATAAACTAGTGGTAAAAGGAAAAGCAACGAAATCACCGTCTCAGGCGATGGATTCTTATGCAAAAGAGGGTTTTTTTTTTCCATCACTTTTTGGAATTGTTTTACATTGTTTTTATGAGGTGATACATTGCAGAAGTACTCAATTCTGACTCTCACCACCAAGTTTATGATCCCCGGTAACTTGAGCCACTCTGTGAAAACCTGTGGTGACTAATCTTAGTCGGATTAAGAATCAGCGGAAATAAGGATTTCTTGATCTATTATATAGCCTCGAAAAAACAAGATTACTTGGAGCAAAAGACGACGACTTCGTACGAAACAGAGACATAATCTATTAATTGCAGTTTGGAATATAAGGATTCTGTGCAGCTTGGGCGCACTCTGGAACCTAATAGGAGAAACTGGCAAATATGCACTTGACGTCATCGCAATCTTTTGTACTTGCAGACCGTCTAAACACACACCGGCCACTGGCTTCTTTATGAACAATTGAATAAAAAGCTTTGTAAGAGATTTCAAGATATACAACCCTACATTATGCACACTGAGGTTCATAGCACTAAATAAAATGAGAAGGACGAAAAGAAAATATTATACGAAGAATAAAAATTTGCCTGCCACTCTTGTCCTTAACGTCAAAATAGGAAGGAGGAACCAATACCTATCCATAGTAGATACATAGTCACACAAGCAATCCAATGACAATAGAACAAGAAACCGATTTGATATAAAAGATGTCAAAAGTAAACGAGGTGGTAATGTCGACTCTGTTTTCCTAGTGGTGAGTAGGGTCGAAGCAAGAATAGCGAATCGCGAATGTCAAAATGAAAACAGAACCAAAAGCAAAAGAAATTTAATCTACAGAAGTGAACATAACTCTAAAGCTTGGAAATAAGCAAAAGAACTGTAAACATCGAGTTAAGTACATGTAGAAATATTATTTGTGAGACTACAGAAGAAGCTCTAGACCTAGCACAATCATGTACAGGGAGAAAGAGGGACGAATTACGACTAAGTAAGGCAAAATAGTATGGGTTATGAACAAAAATTTTGAACAGAAAAAGAAAACCGGAGTATATCATGACAGCAATCTTTTTCTTCTTATTACGGTCCTTTCGAAGTTCAGCGATCCAATTAGCAATGATGATTTTTGCGGTACCTCTATGGATGTGCGATTAAACCAACGTCGCAGGTCTTTCAGCCATGAGTTTTGGTGTCTTCTCACAGATCTTTTCCCTCTATTTTGCCTTCAATGATTAAACGGACAAGTGTAATTTACGCTCCTTTATTGTTCTCAGCAATTCTTTCTCCTTATCCATTCGCTCAAGTACTGTATCATTTATTCTATTGTCCAATGATGGGGGCTAAGCGTCCAGCTTTCTGATACATACAGTAATACTGGCAATATGTAACATCTCAGTAGACGGATTCGTAGTTGGCCACTTAAATGTTTGTAAAGATTGTTTTCATTGCGAAGAAAGAGCATCTTGTTTGTTCAATTCGGGCGAGGTCTTAGATTTTTGGATCATTTTTCTCGTTGATCAAGGCGCTCAGATATTTGTATGGGGATACTTGTTCTATAGGACATCCTGTCTCGCGTGTTACTGTCTTCGAGAATATCATCAGCTTGGTCTTGTTTGTGTTTAATTGAAGGCAGTATAATTCGCTGTGTTGTTGTATGCGATTTAGTAAGCTTTGTAATTGCATCATATTTTCGGCTAACACTACTGTGTCGTCCGCAAAGCGAAAGTTGTTAATTACGATACCATTTACTTTTACGCCCATTTTGTCGTCTCCAATGGCTTTGTTAAATACTTTTTCAGAGTAGATGTGGAACAGGAGAGGGGACAGAACGCATCCCAAGGAGAATGGAGGACAGGTGCATTCTGTACGCCAAGGTTGGAGGAGTATCAATGCTCCTGGCCCGGTTATTAGTACCTTGTAAGGGTCCTTGTCTGGGGATACAGGCAAAATCTATTCTTGGGCAGCAACAATAGATCCAGGCATAAACTTTAAGATCTTAACAGCAAACTACCTACGATGCAGAAGGCAAACGGAACTCCCACTGCATTATCTTTTCCGAAATATCCAAAGGATAGCAATAAACTAATTAAAACCCGAATGGTAGAATGGGGGCAATAGAAGGAAGAAGATACTGGAAAGGTAGTTGATTTTGTGATAAAAAATAAATTTTATAAGGATAGGATGTCTTAGATGTGTAAGAAACCACCAGGTAAGTACTTTCAATGGAAAATAATCGGCCGATACAATATGCAACGGGAAGATCAGGTTCGGCTTAGCTGGAAGATTTTTCTTCTTATGTAAATGCAAACAAATTGGTGTTACATACCGATAACCCATTTAAAAGAAAAATAAAATTTATATTTATTGTTCCATTTTGACATGTTTTTTTTAATTGTAGACCATAAAAAAAGTATTGCAGGACAAAGTGTCACATGTTTATTGATTTTTTTGATTGTTTTTGACAAAATCTGAGTACCACAATGAATTAAGTGCCCTTTAAATTGGGTATATACCAAATTTCTTAAATAGCTGTGATAGAACTTGTCGAATACGTCAACTCCACTTTTCGACAAGTTAAAAAATTTCACAACATAACAATAATTGCTCTAGTATTGTGCAACGACAAATTAAATACGTTATTTTTTTTCTGATGGCAGGATTCTAATCTACTACAAACTAACATCTTATTATGCTGTCAGCGGAACTGTAAAGTACCTAATGGTACTCCTCACTCCTGTAGCCTTTACAAGGCGACATAATTCTTAATTCTTGCCTCTTTCTTTTCTAATCGGGTCCCTCCAGTTGGATTCCCTCATAACACCATAGTAAAATAGGAGGCCGAACAATGCTTTCATTTCAATGGCGTCTATATATTCAGTGTAATGTTGTTTAGCTTCTTTGGGTCTATCTCTTCATTAGTATATTGTACAATGTTGTCAATCTTGGCTTGGATGATGAACAATGTCAACAATGACACCTTATCTACAAGGTTCGAAGAGTGATGATGTTCTTTAAAGTTCCTTTGTCATTTCTGGAAGCTAAAAGATCTGGGTTAGGTCAGATTTGTTGAGAGATTACTGAATTGGTATCGTCTTCAAGAAAACCTTCAAATTCACCAGGTACATTGTCATCGTTTTAAAACATATCATTTTCGCTGTCATAACTCTTCAGAGAAGTATTCATTAAAAATGAGGCCATTCAGTTTTTCGAGTTCTCGTCGGATTTCTTCATCACCTAAATTGTCGTTTGTTGTCAAGAAATATGCGTCATACCCAAACCTATGTTCATAGATATCTGCGCAGGTACAACATGTAGTTTTGCCAATTCAGTTTCATTGATAATTTATTAGAATCTTTCTAGAATTGATATAGGTATACTTATAGAAAAAACATAGTTTACTATATCGAGCCCTGGGCAGCGCACTTATTCAATGATTAACAGAAAGAAACATTAGATAGGAATCACAGAAATACACCGCTGTTGCCACTAGTCCCTTTCCAAACATATTTAATCCCACCTTATTAAATACTGCAACCGTGTTATATATATGTTGATTCAGCAGATCCGTGGGAAATCAACTTATTCAATAGCACATCATGGTTCACTTTGTCGAATGCCTTTGCAAAGTCTGTATATACTACATCTACCTGACCTCTTCTATCTAGTTCAGAACTTACATACTCATTTAAAATGGTTAAGTTAGTTTCTACAGATCGGTGAGGAATAAAACCATGTTGGTTAATGTGTAAAGATTTGTTGACATGATTGAATATTCTATTATAAACAATGTGCTTAAAAACTTTTGCAAAGCAAGATATAACTGATATTGGTTTATAATTGGTATATACCAACTCATGGATCATAAGACAAAATAGCTAACTTTCTAGATTGACTTTCTAAATAGGAGGATAACTTTATTGTGTTCTGTTTTGCCTGATTGATGACATTTGGCGAAAATCAGTCGACTATTTCAAAAGAATAACAATTAGTTGATATAAAATTATAATAAACCAATGTAAACTTCTATTTTTCTTTTCTATTTTCTTTTAGGTGGATTAGACTTAATAATAGTAAGTGGTTTGGCTTACACAAAACACGGTAAAAGGCTTGGGCATGGAGGAGGATATTTCGACACTTACTTGAAACGAATCAATACACAATTCAATATTCATCCGACTTCGATGGCTTTAGCGTTCAGAGAACAATTATTTCCATATTTGCCAACTCATCTACACGACGTAAATATCGATATTGTTATCACGCCAGATAGCATATATGAAAACAAAAATGTCAATAAGTTAAACTTAAATTAAATTTTAAATCGAATTTATCTCATGTCACGCTATGCATTTTTGTCGTACTAAAAAATGGAAATGTAAAAGGAATAAATAAATAAAGAACAAATTTGTTGTTTTTTTTTTCAAAATTGTTTTTAATCGTTTTATTTTACATAATAACGACGACATCATAATGTTACAATTATTAAGAATTGTTACAGAAGAGAGGTGATTCATTCGGTTTTACTGTAAATCAACTGCTTACTCTTAAAAGAAACCAATTTAAGAAATTAACTGTTTAAAGTAAACCTAGACCTACATAAACCACTTTTAATAAATTTGTATTTAACCTCGATAAGAAAATATCAATCGATTTAATAACACGAATATGATGCATTGTTTATGAATCATTTCTTTTTAGGAAAAGTTGACAATATAAGATTGATAACTATTTGGCACCTCAATTAATCTATTTGTGTTTTTATTATAATGAGCAATGACAATGGCATTTTTTTGGTAACTTTGTAAATTTTTAGTTTTACATGGATTAGAAAATTTTATTATTGGTCGTTTTTGTGGTGGTTATAAGTAATAAATATTTTGAGTGTTTATTAAAATAATCCTGCCAATTTTAAAAATATTGTATTTAATAGCGTTTTTAATTGTAATATTATTAAAACCTAAACTCAGCTAAAACAGCACATGTTTATAGATTGAACTATTGAACGTTATGGCAAGTATTAGTTTAGAACATCACTTTTAATTTTTCAGCAATAATTCTTTTCTACTTTAATTCAAAAACAGCAGTTGTATTTTGTTGTTAAATCATATTTAGGCATATTAATTAAGTTTACAGGAGTATGTTAATAAGCTGTTTAAGTCGGTAAAAATCATTTTGTATATCGAAGCTATCAACTGTACATACAAGCTAATTATCATCTTCAAAACTTCAGATCTTAAAAACCACTAGTTGTTGCCGAATACAACTGTTTAGGATTATTGACTATGTAGCGGAAAAATTGTCTTCGCCTATACCTCGTTTAGCACCAGCTATCAGTTTTGTTGCAAGTAATAAAAATTTTCGGCCGTTTCGAGCAGCTAGTATATTTCGAGCAGTATTGACATCCTTAAAAAGCAAATGAGGTTATATGTAACTTAGATACACTAAACACAAAAAGTATTGCAAACAACTTGGAGCTAATTGGGAACTGATTTGAGTGAGGAAGCTGGATTGAGATATAATGAGAACCATTGAGAGCTATTCTGAAAAATTGGCATCTAAGAGTGTAATATATTGAAAGAAGTTAACAATGAATAGCGTGAGAAGCAAATAAAAGCCATTGCTAGCCATCGAGAGCTATTGTAATAGTTATTCAGGGATGGTAAAAGATATTAGGATACATTGAAAGCTATTGGGAGTAATTAGAAACATTGGAAGAAAGACTTCGCTTGCGATTACATTCGGTGTAGTCTTTAAATGCTTAAAATATTGAGAAGATCTTGGAGCAAGTAAAACATTTACTCCACGCATGCTCTAACCTTTAACTTATAATGCGAATCGTCAGAGATGTCACACTGAAGAAGTTATTGTAGCTAAGTGTTGTGTTGAACACTGAAACGACTAACCATCGTATACAGCACGAACTACGTCTATAAACTTTATGGAAAGTTTTTTAAAACATTGATCTTGGAAAAGAGCTTACAAAATTCAGCTCTGGCATGACTTGATGTGGCGTGGTCAATATGCTCATCGTACATTTGGTAGACATTAGTGTAGATATTGATATATGTATAATCTATATACGAAGTACAAAAGAGGGAATCATGGTCAGCATGAAGAAACATAGTGAAGACATTCAAAAATCTTAGAAAGTGTTACGAGCAGCACACGCAAGTTGAATAGGACCTTATAATGCGTGCACAGGAAAGTGTAAAATTTTCCAGCAATCACTATTAGCAACAAAAGATTCTTACGAAAACGCAACGCAAATTTTAATAAACCAGTTGCTTTATGATTTAATGAAGGAAAATATAATAGAAGTGAATACATTATTTTATAGACCTAACATGCAGAGGATGGAGAACGACAGATGTCACTGTCTTGTACAATGTTCGTGAAAATGTTTAAGGTTGAAAGATGTTTACCCATTGTATTTGATATTTGCCATTCTATGTTTATCTGATAAATGCATTATAACTTGCAGTAATTAGATTAAATTAATGGTTCAGTTTATTAGTAAAGCTCGTTGACGGTGCATAAAAAAGTCGTCATGTGCTCGAGTAAGTATAACGCCAGTAAGAGGCATTATACGCAAGAATAAAATGAATGTATTAGCTGAAAGAAAAATTTCGTCAAAAAAACCTCTAGATCAAAATTTTGTGATGCTCAAGACATTGTAATTGTGTCATACTCTATAAGAAATAAAATAATTCTTAAAGGCTGGAATTATTCAAATTCAATTTAGCAAACTAAACAAATTAGCCATTGTGATTCATCAAAAAGCGGCAACAATAACCATAAGAGGTTACGTATTTACTTAAAAGTAAAATGATAAAAAATAGAAATCTTGGCCAATATTTTCATATACCTGATAATACATACTTTGGACCTATTTTGGATATAAAGAAAAACATACAAACTGAAAATGAAAGTCTAGAAATGTGAAGCAGAAAATGGTTACGCTTTTTGCAAGCTAGGAAAGGATCGGAAAATTGTCCAGGAGTATTCTAATGTATTTATTTTATCAATTCAGTAAGTTTTGCAAATTTTCAGAAGCAGCTAAACGATGTTAAATTCTGTCAGTTACTTTTGTAACTCCAGTAGGTTAAACATAAGTGGCCGATATTCACCTTATACTCATTGTGAGAGTCCCGACAGAAATAAGCTCAAGCAACATAGTATTAACCAAAGGTGCTAGTTGCTTCCAAAAAGAAGCTAGTTGGATCTATATCTTAGTAATTGACTAATATAACAATAACTTTTCGTGGTAAACAATTGAACGTTTGTTTGCTTGATCTAATAAACTGCATCGAACCATTACAAACTTACATCAAGCATATTTTTAAAGCATTAGTGCTATAATATATGTCCTAACGTTTCTGATGTAAGTCGGTATATTTATTAATTTCGAGATTATAATAGAATTAGAATTTCCCTGATATAATAGAAAATCTATCAAGACAAATAAAATGATCATTGTTTATGAGTATAATGTGAATAAAATAAAGATTTTAATAAAGAACTTTTAATAAAAAAATATTTCAAAAGTATTCCGTTATTGCAATGCAGACCTCAATATAGACCGAGACTATTTTGGTTTAGAGTAAACTATAATTCACTGAAATAAAGCCATTAAAAGTGTTTTTCAATCAAACCTAACCCAATTGACGTTTTATATGCGGTGAGTCAGAAGGAATGAAAAATCTCTGAGATGATGACAAACCTGGTTTATGAAGTATAAGGTGTTCAAAAAACAATAGTTTCCAACAAACAAAAATTAAGCATATAGTAATTTTAATCTGTTTATAATTTTCACAAATCTAAGTAGAATAATTTTTATATTACCCGAAATTTAAAAATACTATGAGAAGATGTAGATGAAAATTGTTTGAAATAAACTAACAAAATTGAAACATAATGCATAAACGAGGTGGTAAAAGCTGGTAAAGGACCCCGAGGAGATATTCTGACGTCGATAGGAGTATGTCATTAAATTTCAGAAAACGATTGTTTCTTGGGTTATCAAAACGTCTGCTAGCAACTCCTATTCCCAACGTCTTCGACTACATTATATGTCGCATACCATTGGTAATGCATGGATCCTGTTATACAGCTGATGAAGAAAGGTGAAAGGGTAATGTTCTTCGCCTCAAGTATGGCGGTTGGGCTGGTCTAACTTCTCAGTTCCATAAAAATCTGATAAGAACTTGAATCTAATATCATCATCATTAGTAGAATAGAAGAATAGACTAGAAGATAGGGCAAGAAGATGAAGAAGTTAGAAACTATATTCTTTTCTAATAAGACGTAGAAAAAACTAACAAAGCGAGAGCAGGAGTTTCATTACTCACAAAACGTAATTTAAAGGAATGTACATATAAGAAACGTTAGCAACGTGGCAGAAAGAATAAGAATCATAACCCTAACTCTCTATGGCTAACTAATTTAGTGGCAGTATATGCTCCGTCGGAAGACACGGGCCATAAGCTGAATGACGAAGTGACTTTAACCAAATCAAGATCAAATATTGGTGGAATGGTAGAGTAGGGTCAAGAGTTGGAGATGACATAGTTTGAAGATATGGTGAAATAACAGTAAATGGCTCAGGAGAGAGATTAAGGAGGATTGAGGAGTGTAAAGTATACGAACTGAGAATAATAAACATCCTTTTTTCGCATAAGAAAGAACGCGCCATTACATGGAAAAGACCGTTACAGAGACAAGATTTTGTAATTGATTACATTGTATTGATACAACATGTCAAAATTAAACCGCAAGACTTCAGAATCAAATGAGGAGTCAATTGTGGCTCCGATCACTAAGAATCGGCTAAAATCCTATTTCCATATAGACACCTCTAGATGCGAAAAGAGAGCAAAGAGGAAAAGGGAAAACTTAAGACAATAACAGGAGAAGCAATATAAACTGTACCTATTACAAGAATAAAGTATAAAGCAACTCTACTAAAGACGATTAGAAACCCAACTTGAACTAAAACTCATAAGCAACAATTTGGAAATAGAACAGAATTATATCAAGGAAGCAGTCTACAAAGCAGTAGTGGAGGATTTGGGTAAATTGGAAATTAAAAAAAAAACAGAAAAGCAGATCATCAACTCAGAATAACTGAACAGACTAGAGTATTAATTCAAGAAAAAAAGAAAATATTTCAGAAATAGGTCTCAAAAAAAAACAATCGTAACTAAACTGGAATATAAACAATACAACTGGAAAGTAAGACGACAAATTTTCGGGGAGAAAAACCTATATTTGGAAAGAAAACGCCAAGAAATAAGAAGATGTGTCAAACGAATCAAAGTGAACCACATTAGTTCATTCAACGACTTCATCAACCTCAATGAATGGCATAATCATTACAAGGAGCAATTAACAGAACAAAGAGCTGAATTTTTGAACAAAGGAATAACGAGATTGAGATTGGTGAGAACAGCAAAGTTACAATGGCGGAAGAAGACGTTAAAAAGGGCATACAAAGAATGAAGAATGGATGATCAGCAGGATCAGGGAACATGTCAGGTGAACTGATTAACATTCATGATTAACGATGTTAATGAACAAATGTTGTAAAGAAATAAAAACACTAAGTGGATAGAAGACTTCATACATAGTTTCAATATTTAAGATAGGTAGTAAACGTAGTCCAAAATGTTATAGAGGTTTATGCATACTGAGCACCCTTAGTCATTTATTTGGAAGAATCCTGCAAGAGAAGCTTATGGAGGGCATAGGTAAAAATAGGCGAAGACCAGAGTGGATTTATGCCGGGCAGATTTTGTACGGACAACTTGTTTATAATGTTTTAATATAAGTATTGGAGAAAGTAATAAGGATAAGAGAAGTAGCACAGCTAGGATTTAATGATTTGGGGAAGAGACATGACTCCATTCCTAGATGCAAACTGGCAAGTGTTAACAACTACTCAAACAAACCCTCATTTAATACACAATATATCCACGAACTAATGACGGACTAAGACAGGAGAGGAGTGTATATAGTTTGTTACCATTTCATGGTTACAAAACTGTACTCAACTTATGAACAGCGGGGCCTGCAGGTTAACATTGATGTTTAGTAGACGCAAAACTTGAAGTACTAATTAAGGACGGTATGCAATTAAATTGAAAATTTATCTTTCCTGTTTAGTGATTTCTCGATTTTTTGAGTCACTCTGTATAAACTCAAAATTAAAACGCCTTAAAATTTGTAAAAAATTGTAAACAGATTTGAAACATTTCATAATCAAAAATTAAAAGTGATTTTAGAAAACATTTTTATTGAAGAGTATTTCGTCATGTAATTATTTCCTGATAATGTCTATTTAACTGAAATCGGTCAGCGTCCATTTATACAATTTGATTGGTTCTAATTCTGTCTAAAATTTTAAATCAAAATTAGATTAAATAGGGCTGATATTTGGTTTTAACACTTACAGTAAGATTGACTTTTTTATTTTAATAAACATTCTTCATAAATAAAAAATAAAAGCATAAACGGAATTCGATTTTAAATTAAATTTTAAACTAAATTTACTGTTTTGTTAATACATTTAATCCTAATTTAGTGTAAAAATTTTTATTTCGAATCAAAAAAGATTTATTTTGCAACAAACTTAATCAAAATTAACAAAACAGTTCATTACTTTATTTTTATGAATATGATTTAAATCTGATGCTATTTGAATTAGAAAGAAAAGTCAGCGTATATAATCTAAATATTTAGTAAAAATATCACAAAATACAATTTCTTTAACTCCTTTAACGTTATTTTTTTTTCGTGGTAACTTCAAACCATTGATCCAAACATGCGTTTTCCCCTCGTTAACACCAAACTAACAGCCATAACCGACGCCAAAAAGAAAAGAACTCCCAAAATCGATGTTACAATTCTACATCTACATCTCCATTTTTTATCTGCTTTGAGCCGTTTGGTTAAAATTTCTGATCGATGCACATCTAAAGTAAAATCGGTTTCCGGTCGTCCACCAGGCTGAAAAAAGACAAAAAATTAGAGATTTAAAAAAATATGTAATTTAAAACTAAAAGCTTAAATAAATACATTTTAACCTTGTCCTTGAAAGAAAAGAAGAAATACAAAACCATGAAATTAATACTCTTTGAATTGTTGTTAAGGTAAAAACTTTTAGTTGAATATTTTAGTTTTAAGTAAACCTTTCAGGATGAAAGTACTCCTACCAAGTTTCTTTTTAACATACGTTCAATGTGCGAATATCTTATTCGTTGGATTTTACCCATCAAAAAGCCACCAAGAAATCTTTCAAGCGATTTGGACTGAACTATCGTTACGCGGTCATAAACTAACCGTTTTATCTCCGAATCCAATTAAAGATCCCTCTTTGGTAAACGTGACGGAAATAGATTTAAGCGATGTTTATCGAATCGAAGGAACTAAAAATACGCCGTCTTTGAGATCGAAAGAATTCGCCACTAAAGACGGTATTGCAAAACTATTTGATTTTATGGAGACGATAGTCGAATACGAATTGTGTAACCCGGATGTAAGAAGCTTAATAGTTGACAATAGAAAAGATTTTGATGTAGCGATAATTGAAATTCATCATCCTGCTATGTTAGCGTTTGGTTATAAATTTAATTGTCCGGTTATTGGAATATCATCGCTTGGAATATTTACAAGCGCATATAACGCGATGGGAAATCCGATTAATCTCGGACTATATCCCGAGTTAGCGTTTCAAAAACGATTAAATTTAACATTTTGGGAAAGACTTCAAAGTACGTATGACGGAGTATGGTTTAAATATTTTTATGAAAATACCGTGATGTCAAGAGCAGACGAAATCGTTAAAATGCATTTTGGACTGGATACTCCGTATATTGGAGATTTAGAAAGAAATATCAGTTTGTTATTGTTAAATATGGATCCGATTTTTTATACTCCCAGACCAGTTTTGCCGACCCTTATTAATTTGGGACATATTTATATTAAATCTGATCAAGAATTGGCTAAGGTAAATTTGAGTAGTTATAAAAGTTAGAATAATAAGTAATAAAATTTATAATGAGAGGTTTAAATTATTATTGAGCGTTGCAAAATAATTATTACATTACATGACACACTTCTGTAAATTATATGAATATTCTTATAAAATTTTAATTGTAAAATGTGCGATTTTATCGCTAGTAAAGTATGATTTATTCTTGTATGAAGCAATTAAAAATAATTGTATTTGCAGATTTATCTGTTTTTTTTTATGTAAACGTAAAGAATATTTTATTCATATTAAATAAGTAGAAAATATAAGAAAATTTAATTTAATGTATTTAGGTTGTTTCAAAAATAATCAAAAAATATTTCTTAAGATTTTTTTGCAATGTACGACTCAAGTAACTTTTAAAAAGAATCTAAAACTCAAGGTTCAATAATTAAAAATCGAATAATCAGCATGTTTTGATGTGGTTCTGTTGTAAAAAGTTAGTAATATGAGAAACGTAAAGTTAGTTGCATACACGCTAGTCTTTTATGCAGATAACTATTAACTAGGAAAACTTCGGCAGGGATAGAGACGGCTACAATATGTGCATTGCAAGGTTTGAAAAAGGTCCAAATTGGATTAATAATAAATCAGTGACAAACAAAACTGGTTTTCATTCAAAATAAAACAGCGAGGATAATGTAAAAAAATTGTTGTCTTCAAAACGGTTAGGAATATAGAACTGAAAAAATTTGAGTTTATAAAGGAACGTTTGCGATTAGATTGCACTAAATTATAATCTTCCAGGGTGACCAATAAATTTTATAAAAAATTATAGAAATCGGCAATTAAACTTGACGTTTGTTGAAAATATGATTAAAGATTGAAGTTTTGTCCAAAACGTTAACCCTTCGAAGGTACTTCACATTATTAGAACTCATAAAGCACTGTGGGGTCTGTCTCACCCCAGGGATTTAAACATCATTATTTAAAATGCCTTCATTAGATGAAAAACACCTAGCTTCCAGGTTCCAGAGGTGTTTTCACATGTGGAGCTACCCCCTTTGGTACTGCCATAAACGAAACTATAATTCTTTTCGCACGTCTTCCTCTGCGCTACGGAATTTTAAAGGGTCCACTTGTAACCATTTTGCCTAATATTACCGATGCTCTACTTGCAATTTCACAGTCTGAAACTTCTTGTTCTTCAAGGTGATCCGAATCTTCTTCACTTTCTTCTTCATTGAAAACGTCTTCTTACTCTTCTTTTATCAAAAGTTTATTTACTTCGGTTTAGTTCCTTATCAGTTGTAGTGGCCATCATGTAAAAAAACATACCTGTGTAACTTAGCAATCCTTAAAATTTTAAAACTTAGCAAGCTTAAAATTGTAAAATTGCTTAAAATTGTTCAAACTATTTTTTTTAAGAATTATAATTGAAATCCATTCTATCCGTTTTCAATTTTGAAGTAGGTAAATAATTTAGAGTTTGATTTTATACTTTTAAACTGGTTTTTATTTTATACAGGATTTAAATCTAACCAGTTTCCGCCTTTGGCCATCTTCAGAGACTCTACATATAGATTAAGATCTCTAATCTTATCCATTTTATAAACAAGTTTCTTAAATGCATTAATCCTCTGCATTTTAGGGAAAGGGATGAAGAAGGAACTTGTAGGCATTCAAGTTGGGGTTCGTTAAATTTTAATTTATCTATTATAATAAATATTGAAACATTTTGCTGTATCTGCCGAAATTAGAACTATCATTGTGCTCTGGTGCTCTCTCAATCTGGTTTTTAATGATCTACCAGTTTCTCCTATATAAGTGGCACTACAAGTATTGCATTACAGTTTATATACTCCACTTTGATCTAACAAACCTATCCTGTCTTTGGCATTGAAAAGTTGTATTTTTTTTAACTAGTTAATAATACTTAACAAAAAATATCACGCGAAAGACACACTATGGTCAAGAGGACCCCACCTACAGTTCAATACGTTATACTAGCACTACCAGCGAATGTTTTGTCTCCTTGTTAGCTTTAGGTATATTTAAATATGCTATCTCGAATTTACATGAAAGGCCACGATCTGCAATAATTACATGTAACAGTACGTCTCAGTTATATAATGGGTGGGATCTGGTCAACGGTAGGTTTCAAAAAAGTTTCAGGTTTACGACGAGGTATTCGACGTTTGTTGAAAATGTTGATAAGCCCCGGATTTGTTAACAAATTTTGTTGATGTTGTACTTGAGACAATCCATCAAATCCCCACTAAGAAATTAAGCAATGTTCTCCATCTATTGATTGCAATAGATTGCAACTTCACCTCTGTCATTGTTTAAGAAATAATTACATATTCTTCTAGTGGGTAGTACTTCTTTTTTGCTAGTTAGATTTCTTTATAACTGAGAACTTCAATTGCTTTTGGAACACTTGCATTATCATTAAATGTGGATGAAATAGGTCTCCTCTGTATCGCATAAGCGAATTACAGCTATGTGCTGTTTATAATCTGATCGTTTTGATCTTTCGCGCACATATGCGAGATGGAACNAAAAAAACATACCTGTGTAACTTAGCAATCCTTAAAATTTTTAAAACTTAGCAAGCAAAATATATAAAATTGTTCAAACTATTTTTTTAAAAATTATAATTGAAATCTATTCTACCAGTTGTCAATTTTTAACTAGCTTTGGCCTTTGGTCATCTTCAAAGACTCTACATATAGATTAACATCTCTCATCTTATCCATTTTATAAACAAGTTTCTTAAATGCATTAATCCTCTGCATTTTGGGCAAAGGCCCAGTAAACAAATTTGCGTTTCAGAAACATTTCTGATACATATTATTGAAACATGAAATGTTTCTTCGACATATTTCTGGAACATAGTTGAAACGTGTCTGAAACTGCTAATGTCCGGCCCTTTTTATGTTTCATTGAAACGTTTCTATTGAAACATTTCTGCAACATACAGGTGACAATTACGGTACATTTCTGAAATGTAAATACGTTTACGAATCTACGAAAATGTCTCCTAAAGATATTCAGCTTTATTTTTTTTCTTTCCATCTTATCTCACATCACACGAACGTAGAACTATATAACTATATAATTTTATATGATTGCAGGAGAAAAACAGCCAAATTTAGCGGGAATCGCGATGAAACCTTATAGGTTATGATTTGACCTACGGAAAACATAAAATTCTTTATATATGCCTCTTTCTTTAAATAGTGTTCACTAGCCGTATTTTCATTAACTAAATCTAGTGGTGATATATAAAAAAACTTATACAAAACTTGCGCCATTCTAAACTAATACTCGAACGATTCGAACTGAGAACAGAACAAAACACAATAGAACAAGACGTGACAAGACGCTGACCGCGATGAAGATGTCTCAGACATGTTTCAGACACATTTGTAAAGAAATGTTTCAAATAAAATGTTTCTGCTACATATTTTAATGATATTTCATAAATATTCCTACTGAAATGTATTTGATACATATCTTTAGATACGTTTCGTAAAAATCGTATCTGTCACGTATATGAGACGTAGTTCTAAGATATATCATTTAATTCACTGTACGTTAAAATTGAAATGTTTCACAGATGTTTCTTGTTTACTGGGGGATGAAGAAGGAATTTGTAGAGTGGAGTTTTTGAACTGTGGTTCTATTCGTTAAGACATTCAAGTTGGGGTTCGTTAAATTTTAATATATCTATTTCGTATTGTTCCAGAAGGTTCAGTTGAAACCCTTCTTATGTGAATGTAATATTGAAACATTTTGCTGTATGTCAAAGTCATCTTTGGAAGTTAGCATATGTCTGCCGAAATTAGAACTATCATTATGCTCTGGTGCTCTCTAATTCTGGTTTTTAATGATCTATCAGTTTCTCCTATATAAGTGGCACTACAAGTATTGCATTGCAGTTTATATACTCCACTTTGATTTAACAAACCTATCCTGTCTTTGGCATTGAAAAGTTGTATTTTTTTTAACTAGTCAATAATACTTAACAAAAAATATCACGCGAAAGACGCACTATGGTCAAGAGGACCTCACCTACACTTCAATACGTTACACTAGAACTACCAGTGAATGTTTTGTCTCCTTGTAAACTTTAGGTATATTTAATATATCGTCTGTGAAATTCTAATGCCTTGTAACCCACAAAAAATCCAAAATTGTGTTATTATATTTTTATGAAATCTACAGAATTATACATAGTACTAGTAACACCTAGTAATCCACAAATACGCATTTACTTAGATAAAAGGGATTTCTTTCATCACGTATCCCAAATGCACCTCAACAAGAAAACAATAATACCTCGTACACCACAATGAAANAGTTGTAACAACTTTTGGAACACTTGCATTATCATTAAATGTGTATGAAATAGGTCTCCTCTGTATCGCATAAGCGAATTCGTCACAATAATGCGAACTAATCTGATCGTTTTGATCTTTCGCACACATATGCGAGATGTTTCCTTGTTCTTCCCATATTTTTTGCACCTTCTCTACAATAAATAGGAAACCCTATAAAACTATTCAGGAAATTCTCATTGTACTCCAAAAGTGTATCTTCTTTTCTTTGAATCTTTTGCCATCTACTTATCCCTTTTTCTCATGAAAATAATAAAATAATCTAACTCTTACCGATTCGAAACAGATTTTGATAAGATTCTCCTATTTGTAGATACTTTGTTATCCACATAGAATTTGAAACAGTGAAGAAAAATTATTATAATGACAGAGTGTATACTCCTCAAAAGTACTATAATATTGTGACAGAGGCAAGCAACAGCATCTTAAGCACAGAGAGTATTGATTTAAAATAAACCACAGCCTATAAAAAAACGATTTCAAGGGTGTCATGATAGCATGAATAAAAATCGTGCATATTTTTTTCATGTAGTAAAATAGCAATGGTTAGTTCTAGCAGATTTCTTGATATAAACACCGTCAATAGATTTTATATATTACGTCTTCAAGAATAACAAAGATAACCACTCCCCATAAAACACCAAACAACGCATTAGGACACTGGAAGGTTTTCTGTGTTATCAAATGAAGAATATGTTATTATTAGATAAGCAGCTGAAGATTATACAAAACGATAAATGTTTAAATGTTTCATGTCCAAAATGTCCAATTGAGGTTGATGTGGGTGATATTTCACACAATGTATAAATTGTTTAAAATAAACTAGAAAAAAAATGGATTAACTCATTAACTGGAAACGATAATTGGAGATCTGAGAAAGTAAAATATAACTTTCATTTTTATAGAACGTTGTTAACAGCAACAGCTTGTATCGAGTTGCATTAACAGTACTATTACAAAGACGTGAAATAAAACAATTAAACATCTTTGAAGAATTAAAACGGTTTCTAACACTTTGTGTTGTAGTAACTGATTGTTAGTTAAGCTTCATAGCAATAAATAATACATCAAATGATAAAATCAATATAATTACTGAAATTCTATCGGAACTGAGTAGGGCAAAAATTTTCGCTAAGGTGGATATCCCAAAGTTCATGGCATGGGGAGCCGCAAGCAATAATAGGTTAACAACATTTTGAAGAAATTACGGAACAACGATGCCAAAGCTTTTCAACAAAAATTAAATGAGCAATTAAATACTTATATTAAAAAGAAATATATCGATTATTACAATATAATTTTTGCGCGAACGCCGTCGGATGAAATGGAGAAAATAGACAACGAGGACATTTTTTAGCTCTTGGTATCATTACGATGTAAAGTAATATTAAACATCTTTTATTTTTCATGTTCACTTCATTGATTTATTGTAGAAATATTCTCATTGTTCAAGTCAAGTAATAGTAAAATCAAGAAATAATGAAGAGGCGATAATTAATGGCGCGTCGCAGCATCTCCGTGAAACTAAGATTCGAAATTAACAATGTTTTGGTAATTCCAATTTTTGCTTTTAACTGATAAGAATTATTTTTATTTCAAGAACTTCCCCAATTAACTTTTCTCTACTTTCGGACCATTTAACGAATACAATAATCGGTATCAGATTCTTTGAAACAGTTTCTATAACTTCTTTGCAGTTCGTTTTATATGTCAGTGGGCTTTTCGACGTGATGTTGATATTTCTTCTTGTCTTTTACTTATATCATATTTATAATCCATATAATTTTATTGGCCATGTTGATACAATAACATAACTGGTGTCGTGGTGCTAATATGACCAAAGTAAAATTTTATTTATAATAGCACAAAAACTTCAAGGTAGATCAACCTAGAGTTACGAAACTATAAAATTTTATAATAGCTCAAATTTTTCTCAAGGGCACCACTTCCCTACTAAAAGGTTAAGCTAATAATTAAGTAATAACGAAAAATTTTTAGTGAGATCAAAATATTATATAAAGTTAAATAAGTAACAAACAAACATTTTAATGTCAGAAAACACAGATTCGTATATTTCCAAGAATTTATTAGATTCAAGAATTTGACTTTTGAAACAATACCGTTAGTGAAGTGCAATTTATACAATAGATATTTAATAGTAATTATTTAATAGATATTTGTCTACAGTTCAAAAGATAACAAATTTACAGCATTTGCTCTATCTCTGAGATGAGTATCTGAAGTATGGCGCTTGATTAACATATTTTCCAATCTCTGCACAAAATAACAAGACTCAAGATTCAACAAGATTCATGAAGTTATATTTGTCAATAAGTTAAAATCAAAAAATAATTTTTCAAATTTACTTAGAGTATGTTTTGCTTTTATGTCAAAAGCAACACAATCTTCTTCTGTCGACATAGCATTAAAAACTGTTTAATTTCATCCAGTTTTATTTACGGGAAATATAATAATCTCTCTGCAAAAAAGTAGCTGTGTTTGAGGTAACATATTATAAGCACATCAATGTCTGCTATATGAACTTGGCTACATGCATACAAAGTGGATGGATTGTTGGAACTGCAAGAAATAAATTTCCGTTACGAAGGTAGATACATCCCAATTTCAGTGTTGTACTATTCAGTTGCATTACAGTTCATTCAATTATCAAGTCCTGGCAACAAATGTAGCATCACTTTGAAAGTATTGCAGAAATCTTCTTTCTCTTGATTGAAGTGATTACTTATTATCTTTCGGTTTTGGGAAGCATATTTATTGCTTTGATTGGGCCCTTCCTATACTGCCTCTTTTCTTGAATTTATCAAGTTGATTTCCCTGCTAATCTTACCTTCCGTAAACTTCAACGCTTCTGGATTTCACTTAGGATACTGTTCAGCGCAGTGTTTACGCTATTCTGACTATTATCGTTAATTTCTCTTCATCGTAAACATGACCTTTCCTTCCTCCATTGTACTACTTTTACTAATTGAGAAAATGCTGAATGCTCTTGGTAAAAATTCATTTACAGTTGTCATTTTTGAGGTTCATCTTGGAGAAATCATAAAAGTGGTAAATGCAAATTGCCTTTAACTTTTGTTTTATCTAAATGAATGTACATCAGGATAAACACTATAGATTACTTCACTCTGAGTGATTAATGTCACTGAAGATGTTACGTTTATTGCTTGATTTTTTCTTGATTTTCAAAATAATCGGCAATTCATTTTCAATGAACTATCTGGAACTAAATGGCACATTCAACTAACATTGAAAACTTTAGGATATGGATGACAAATATTACAGTAAGGGTTTTTTGAAATATTTCACGTAATGATGTAATTTGCAGCTCTAAACATTTTTTCAGTGCTTCAAAGGGAATGCCGGTAATATCCACATGTAGATGACATGGGTTTCGTACAAAGACAGTCTTTTGTTCAATCATTTTCTGAAAATAATGTTGAATTCACATATAAGAACTTGAAGACGGTTTCTGATTCTTCAGTGCAAAGATGTTTAATTATAACAACGTTTCCGAGATTTTGTTTAAGGCATCAACTATGCACTTTTAACATAAATGAATGAATAGTATCTCTACATTAAATATTGTTTGTTACAATATAATTTTAAATTTAATTTTATTAGTTTTCGGATTTCGGATAAATAGCGTTTTCAAATCTGATCATTAAAATGTACTACAAGATCATGTTTGCCTTACATTTACGACATCATCATTACTCAGTTTTCCAAGTCAATAATATTTCTTCTTGAAAATCAATGAGCAGCTCTGTGGAGAGGAACAACTTTGCCACAGTTCATATGATTACATGGTTTGAACATACTAGGTTTAATATAATTGACATTTGTCATCAAAGAGTTAAAAACACTTTGTAAAGCAGTGTTAAACACTGTCTTAAATACTCTTTACTTTTAGTTGTAAACTTACAGAGAACAAACATATAATGTTTATGACAATTGCATATATGTAAATTCCACAAAATATCAACAAATCTATTTATTAATACCAAACTTAAAATATCACCGTTGATATTTTTATAAATATCCATAATTTAATCACAGTTTTAATACATTTGCTTCCTTCAGAGAATTAGCAGAAGCAGATCTCACAGTTAGGAGATTATTAAAATTATTCTTTTTTATTATTTTATTTAATAAAATATTTTTTTAAATTTTATATAGGATTTCAAAGAAGATCTTGATGAAGCAAAAGAAGGCGTAATTTACATAAATTTAGAATCCTCAATAAAATTATCAAACATGACCCATCCACTTCTTTCAATAATAGTAAAAGACCTCTCCGATCTTCCTTATAAAATCGTGTGGAAATGGTCATCGGAATATTTGCCCGGACGGCCAGAGAATGTAGTAATAAAGAAGTGGATTCCTCAACAGGCCTTGTTAGGTCGGTAATTAGTCCATTTTAACAAATAACGGTTTACGATTGCTACCATTAAAGTTTTCTATTAAAAGCTTTTAAATTATATCGCCGTCGTGTCCATTTCTGTTTCTTCCTTTTTGCGTGTTGGCAGGTCATAGAAACGTTAAGGCGTTTGTAACGCGAGGCAGTTTATCGTGTATTGAGGAGGCCATCATGAACGGTGTTCCATTGATCGGGATTCCATTCGCAGATGACCAACATATTAATGTCGATGATATGGTCAGGGTTGGAGCTGGATTACAATTGAATCCGTTTAAATTGAAAAGAGGTCAATTGAGAAAAACCATTTTAGAAGTTGCAGAGAATCGAAAGTATTTTATTACAATTTATTATATTTCTTGAATTAATTTACTATTATAATTTTTTAGATATAGAGAAAATATGATAAAAGTAGCTAAGATAAAAAGTGATGATTTTATGACGGGTGTTGAACGAGCAGTTTGGTGGACCGAATATGTTATAAGACATAAAGGAACGGATCATTTAAGAAGTCCAATTCAAGATGTTCCGTTGTATCAATACTTTCTTTTGGATGTGATTTGTTTTACTTTGGTTGGGATTTTATTGATTTTATGCACTTCATATAAAGTTATGAGTATCATTTATAATGCACCGGAATCGAAGAAAAAGAAGAAGAAGAAATCTAAGAAGAAGAAGAGGCGTAACAACTTATTAGAATTAGTCCAATACAATAACGATCTTATATTAATTTAATTTAAAAATTAATGTTTTTTCTTTATTTGCAGTTATTGTTTGTAAAATGGCGGGTTGGCTTTTATCTTGTAGCTTTGATTTTGTTAAATTTAGAGGAATAAATATTATTTAAAAATATTGCATAAGAATTTTGAAATTGATTGTTTAGTAAGAGAAAGAAGAATTATTACAAAATCAAATAACCACAAATTTAATCAACAAGTATGGGATCATTGTTTGTGGTTTTGTATGAAAGGTTAATTTGTCCTAGTTAACGGAAGGTTGTGGTTTACGTAAAAGCAAATTAATTAAACTAATCACATTTATTAACTATGACAATATTATGTCATCTAATTAAGTACTTTGATTTACATGCCAAATTTATATTAGAAATTGTAACTTAGAAGTAATCATTAGATTCAAAGCAGAAAATACGCTAATGATTAACTATGATACTGAAAATTCTTAAAAATTAAATGGTTTTGAGAGAATTAAAATGGTAAAAAATATTGATTAGCAGGATTAAAACTCTGACATATAACTCCTTATGCCAAATAATCGATAATGTTCTGTTGATAATGTCGGAAAATCAATCGCACAAAAATCAATCCAAATATGGCAAACTTCAACAACTCCAACATGTAGTACTTTGGAACCCAGTCAGTCAAAAGTACATACATAGACACTTTTGCACCATACTAATGTTATGTTTGAGTTATTTTAAATAAACCGCCGAAATTGACACCCGTGTAAGTATTGCATTTTCCATATGGTATATCACTTGCGATTGCCAAACATAGGATTAGACTGTGAGCTGAAGAAAGACTTCGCCTATCAGTTCTCCTGGAATGAGACACGCTAAGCTGTTTATCAACATCTCAACTTGTAGGGCCTATCTGACGATGTTGATTGTCGACTATGTGCTGAGGACGATTAGACGGTTGAGCATGTTTTATGCCACTGCTCTGCTGTTAATCATATCAGATTCTCGATTTTTGAGTCGCAATTTATCTCCCCCAAAGAATCTGAATAACTTTTCACCGAGCAAGGTATTAATGTTCGTTAAGAGCATTGGAGTGCACGGTGAAATTTGATAGTGTTATCTATCAAAGTTGGTCCGCCTACCGATATGTAATTTATGTTAATGTAATGTTAGTTGCATCTTCCAGGTTCTAGATAATATTCGTGTAAATCTGCCATAGGATTACACAGTTGCGTATTGAAGCTACTTTAGGTTTAACTGCTACCGGCATCAGAAAATTGGAAGAGGTGAACTAGAAAACGTATGGAATCGTTAAATAAACGAGAAGTTTTAAAGTCTTGAAGTAGTCATATCACTTCCTTGGCACTTTGTATGGAATAAAAATCATAAGTGGAATTAAGCTGCTGAAACCATAATTGCTGAATTAAACGTTTTAGAAAAAAAACTGAGTGAATGCAAATTTGTTTTTCTGGATATATAGGAAGTCCCTATATATTACACAGAGTTTTACGGTCGTATTCTAGTTTATTAGATAATTTAAAAATTTTTTAATTTAAAAATGCCCTGTTAGAATATCATATTGGAGAAGAAGGCTTCGTTGCTTAAAATTCTTATAAATCACCATTACATTAAAGCTTGCCCATTTTGCTAGTTCAAAACCTTCTACATTACAGCATCAAGGTATATTCAGTTTTCTAAGCATTTCTCTCGTCAACAGAATCAGCTCCCTTTAAAAAATCGTCGATAAAATTAAAATTGCGAAGGGCAAAAGCGGTACAGAATCTGATATTAACAACACTAATCTCAGCGTGTAACTTCGGCCTAGAATGCAGTAAATCGTTTAAACTTAAACCATTGGAATCTTTATTAGCGGTATTGAATAACTTGAACCCTAATAAAATCCTAATCAAAAAGTGAGAATTGTTTGAATCAAATTTATTTGATAACCTTGTCTTTTCAATATACCATGAATGGTAGGTTCAGTCCAAAAAGTTTTTTGAGGTATAATTCGTTATCGTTACATCATAAAAGAGGAAATGGGATATAAAATCACTCATTGTGGAAATATTTTCTATAATCACCCAACAATAGGCGTTAAAAATATTGTGGGCTCTTTCTAAATGATGAGGATTTTAAAGTGCTAAATCTCAGCGATCGATGATAGATTCTTTGGGGAACTTAATCTACACACACGTCAATTATTTGCCCTTTTTCCGTAAATTAAATTATTCTATAAAGTGTATACCCTATGATTTAATCTTGTTAGTTTGTCAAATAATCCAACGCATGTATTGAACGATAAACTAAACACCGCTTACAACTTAAAGGTCACAAAATGTTTTAAAACGCTGTTTAGGGCTTTGTACCCCACGACGACTGCGTGGTCGTCGTCGTCCTTTACGCGACATCACCATGTTTGAATCCGCCTTGCTTTACAAGCTACTAAATCTTCTGATACCGGTCTAAAAAATCTTATGCAAATAGATCTTTCTCGTATAGGTACCCGTTCGAAAGGTTGGGCTACTGTTTAACATCATGCTAATGGTTGGCTAAAAAAAAGAGAACAATATAAATACCAGAAGAAGTTTAAAAGTCGTAAATTGGTATAAATTGGCCCTATAATAATAAAATCCTACACTTTTCGTATTGTTAACAGCCTTCGTGTCCATTGTTCAGCTTGTCTTCCTCTCCGTTCTCGCCAAGAAGGATTCGCTTAACTAAACGGGTTGCTTTTAAATTGCTGACATTATATGCCAATTCAGTTGGGCAGGTGATGTCTTGTCTTTTAAATAGCAAAATTTATGACCCGAATGAAATGTTATCAGATGGGCAGTTGACAACGATCATTACGCAGAAAGTCACGGAAAGAAATTGCAGAGTGTTTATTATTCGGCTACAGAAGATATAATCGCAAAATTTTTCGATTGGATTGGGTTGGACTACTTTTTAGATTTTAAGATTCTAATATAAATTAGGTTGGTTATAAGTTGCTACTTGGTATACATAACATTAGTTAATATTCACAAAATATAAATTGCACGGAAATAAACAAGCTATAAAAATAGTGGTCTTGAAAGACTATTTGGCAATTGTTGAGTCCAGGTTCATTGTGTAAGTATATGAATAATAAATGAAGCAGAAAGCTTCGATCCACAATGATGTTTATTTAATAAATTTTTTATTCAGTCTTGAAAGACCTTTCGCTGTACTTCAAAGTGTCCGGATTTACTCTAACAATAAAAAGTACTTTATCAAATAAAATAGGAACGAATTTTATAAATCGTTTACGTATTATGCCGTATTTGTTTATACAAAAGCTCAAGATGGAATTGGAATTGGCCACAAACAAATTAACAACCTTAACTCGTTGTCGAGCGCAGGGCAACTGACAGATTTACCAAATATAATTCTTGATACTTACACTCTTTTATGTAATAATTTGTTTTTGCCGGATATTTTCTTCTGTATCAGCCCAGAAAATTGCTTCCGCCTATAATATTTATCATGCTGAATTTTTTTTTCTATACTTAATATTTTGCTTCTATACTAAATAAATTTCATTTGCCCAAACATTTTTTTATGTGTCTATGGTGGCTAAAAAACGTTACTTTTTCTATTCTGCAATTATATCATTATTTCTCCTGATACTTTGTTTCTTCGTATGATCTTTGTTTCCGAGCGTATTTTCTTTGGTTACTTATGTTTTACTTATGTTTACTTAATTACTTCAGTGGGTACACTGATGTAATTGCACATAACGTTTTTTTTTGTGAACATGACAAATTGTTTCTACCTATTATTCATTCTGAGTATATTTTCTTTTGCAAATGATCACGATATTGTTTCTATAATACATATCAGTTGCTTCATTGGTTCATGACTTGCTACTGCATGTAATATTGTGCTTCTACGCACAATACTTTCATTATACTCGCAACATTTTGCTTCTGTGCATGATGGTTTACTTCTATGCGGAATGTTTTCTTTTGTACTTCCCCATGATATTGTCAATAGTCAGACACTCAACAACTAATGTCGTTTCATAATAGCATTAACTTTGTATAGGTGCTGACTACACAAGTAATGAATAATATTTTTGAAATAACAAAGAATTTAAACGGAAAACTAACAAAATCTTACAAGATGGCTTCCAAATTTGGGAAATGTATGAACCATCGTAATATCGAACTTATTCTACAGTGTGATATGATAAACATCACGATTGACGAGTCTATTGGGAAGGTGCTTAGTACAGCATAGGGCAGAGGATATGAACGAGTATTTGAAAAAATGAAAGGAGTCGAATTTGGATTCTACTTAGATGAGGCTACGGATAACTGTTCGAGATTCTTGATACATATTGATGTCTGTACTCATGGAGATCACTCCATGTTAGTCGTCCACTGTTATGTAGGACTGCAGGCACTTATTTGAAACAAATCACCTAATGCACTGGACCCATGCACTGGATTAATACAAAAGCAACTAAGTTTTGCTCTGAATCAACTGTTAGAATTCGTGATAAATATGGTAAATTTGATCAAATCTTATTTATTTAAGAGTATAGGAGTACTATAGCAGTGCCCGATGGCTCTCACGTGGTTATGTTTTTTCATATACATTTGAATTGCCCCAAGATATTTGATTTTCTTCTATTAATGCGATATTTTCGAAAAGGCAAATCCAATAACGCTCTCCGCAGGAAAAAGCAGCTTTTATAAACAACTCAAACTATGTTGAAAAAGCTTATCTGGATTCAAGTCTTATTAGGAGTCGTATTGGAGTTTTGAAGAAGTTTGAAAGCAAAAATCAACGTGGAAAAAAAATGAGGGTGGTCGGGCCCAGTTTAATTCTACGACTTGAGAAAATGTGCTATCAATTGCAAGCTCACCCATTACATCAATTATTAATGTAAATTTAATAAAATAAAATAGGAATAAATAATGAAGATAAAAAAAGAAACGAATTCACATTAAAGCATCCGTTGAAATGTCCTATTTGGTGTGTGTACTTTACAGCGATAGGTAAAGCTTATTCTCCTGG